GTAGGGGAAGCCACCCGTCCTCACTCTCCCTCTGTGAGGCAGTGAGAGGCCTGGGGCAGAAGCATGATGACCTGGAGATGTGAACACACCACCAATTCCATTGGGCCCCAGGCCAGGCATTGTGCTAGAGGCAGTGGTGGAATATAGATGGTTAGAACAGGGTCTCTGCTCCCCAAGCATTTGCAATTGGTGGCTGATAAAGACATATGTACCAACACCTGGAACAGAAAGCAGCCTGGAACAGAGGCAAACGCAGAAGGCTATGAGAGCAAAGGGTTGAGAGAAATGTATTCCCACTGGGGATCTGGGACAGCCTGGTGAGAGACCAGGACTGTCATAAGCAGGGGGATGGCCCAGAGTCCTTATTTGTCCTTAACTGTGAATGAGGATGATAATAATAGCACACCTAATGCACCAGGTGGCTTTGAGGATTCAAAATATATAAAATGCCTGGCCTTAGTAGGCACTATAACAAGTGTTAGCTATTCCCACAGGTGGGGAGCATAAGTAGGGCCAGAAGTATACATCAGAAGGCTTTAAAATCTAGGAAAAATTAACCTTGTCCTTTGGTGTTGCTTCTATAACTTATCTTCTTTCAAGCCCTCAAGTAGACACATATCTAAAGTCAAGAGAAAATAGAAACATTAGTTTTTTCTGTCATGCGATTGTGACTTTTGTGGGACAGAGGTGCAGTGTGATCTTTGCAATGAACCTGAGGTGTAGCAATCATGGTGGCAAGTCCTTGGTCTTACCTAGAAATGACAACTTCCGTATCAGGACAGGCTTTCCTGGGGGCGCCCCCCCCCCCATGCAGCAGTGGGCCTCCCACACAAGCCAGGGCTCAGGGAGCAGGGGCGCTGCTATGCATTCTTATATTGAAACAGTTAACCTCTTCTCACTTAAACGTCTTCATCTGTAAAATGTTGGGCGGCGATACCTGTCACCGGGGGTCATTTTGAGAATTCAATGATATCAGACACATAAAGTGCTGAGCCTGGCACTGTGGGTATTTAATCAATATTAACTCTTTACAGTTATGACAGCAAAGGCTGGCTTGCCTGGGACAGGCTGTCTAGCTTGGCAAAGATGAGACTTCTTAGAGGAGGCACCGGAAAAGAAAAACAAGTAGAGGAGGGGAGAGGAAGGGGCCCCACGGAGGATTTAAATGTGGTTTCCCTCCTGCTGAGGGGGCCTCTGCACTCAATAAACTAGAATGACCCCAGCTGAACTCCCAGGCATGAAAGTATAGTTGGTTTTTAAAAGCAGTTCTTCTTTCAAGATCAGTTGTTCAATAGAACTGAAAAGCTTTCCCTCGGAAGAGGCTCGGTCCTAAAACCTGCAGGATAACCCATGAAAATGTGCCACCTCTCTGTAGGGAGCAGGGAGCCCCATCCACACTGTTGTCTGAGCACTGGGACCCACTGCCTCCTCTATTTCAAATTAACCAGAAACCTGAGAACCCGAAAGCTGAGCTCCAGCTAACATTATTTAAATGAACTGGCTGTTACATGAACCTTAAACCACATGTCATTTGGTCGTGGGGCTGCCCTGGGCCAAGAGACATTAATATAGAGTTCCCAGCTCACAAATGGATTGTGTTTCAAACGTGCATTTGGAAGGCTGTGGTTTGAAAGGCAGAATTTACTTTCCCAAGAAGGAGATGTTATAAATGGTGATGAGGGCCACACGCTAGCTCACAAAACTCCATGTAGCCATAATAGAGCTAAACACTGCACGCTTTAGCCAAAAAAAGCGTAGAGGTTGCACTGGCTCATTTTGTTGGAGTGTCATCTCATACAGTAAAGGTGGTGAGTTTGATTCATGGTCAAGACACATACTGAGGTTGCAGGTTCGATCCCCAGTCAGGGTGCGTATAGGAGGCAATCAATGGATGTTTCTCTCCCACATCCATGTGTTTCTCTCTCCCCTCCCCCACCCCTTCCTCTCTGTTCAAAATATCAATAAAAATATATTCTTGGATGAGGATTAAAAGAGGAGAAGAAAAAAAGTAGAGGTCAATAATGGTACAGTACTAATACTTAAAGAACAAGATAAACAATAAAGTTGAGTATCCTTCAGTCTTAAGAACTAGTAGTTGAGCAAAGGCAGATTTAGTGAAAGGAAAGTGGAAGGGCTACCCAGTGACGCTGGGGGCCAGGAAACGTAGTCAGGAACCTGGTGGTTAGGCATCAGACCGGCTTGTACAATTTCTGTCTAAGAGGCAAGTGTCTGACAGGGCTCTGGGGGAGGGCTGCAGGGGGATGACTGAAAGGGAGTTAGCCTCGTTATCTCTATGCAGCCATTTCATCAGTCAAGGTAGTGTTGTAATGTACCCTGCGAATCACAGAAGGACGCCTCAAGAAGTCGAATTAAAGAGTCACATTTATTGCAATCCGGGACTCCAGGGGGCATTTCGCTCTCCCAAATCTCAAAGTGATAAGATGGCCGCAACACCAGATTTATAGGCAAAAATCACAAAGATATTGATTACATCCCAGGGTTTGGAATGAGGAACCTGGTTCGCAAAAAAAAAAAAAAAAAAAAG